GCATCCGCGATTCTGTCATGGCTACTACACGATAACGTATCGGCCGTGAGCACCATTATCTCGTGATCTATTGTGTTCTCTCCGACTTCGTCCAAGGGTAGTCGGCTGAGGCAGTCTGCGAGTCCTATGTCCTTGCCTTTTCTATATACCAATTCAAACTTGTACGGTTGTAGTTTTAGCACCATTCTCTGGATTCGCATAGGCGCTGTATAAATCGGTTTACGCATTATGTTTTCCAGTGGCTTGTGATCTGACTCGATTGTAACATCAGATTTTCCGTAAATAAGATTACGAAAACGTTCGCACCCGAAAACTACTGCCAACATCTATTTTTCGATCTGCGCGTATCTCTGTTCGGCTGGCGAAAGAGCTCGTGACGCGTATGCGACGACTCCGTCTTGAAGAATTGCAGCACCTAAACCTTTCATGCTGGCATCCACTGTTAAGGCCACGGGTTTCCTCACATTATAGTATTTAAGGACTTTGGTTGACGTTAATGCAGACTTGACGTTTTCGAAGGCCTGTTTCGCGCCTTTGGTCCAGTTCCAATTTTCTTGCTGCTTAAGATCACGGAGAGGCGCATTGAGTTCGCTTAAGTTCGGAATAAACTTAGACACATAGGCTAACATGCCCAAGATAGTTTCAAGTTCGCTGTGGTTTTCGGGATCCTTCATGTTTAAGATAGCCTCTACTCGTTTTGGTGTAGGCTTTAAACCGTTTCCGGTCAGCCGGTGACCTACATAGTCCACTTCAGATTGTCCGAACTCACATTTGTCTCTGTTTAGCCTTAAATTTATTGACCTAGCCTTGGCAAGAACTTTCCGAAGTCTTGCATTGTGCTCGTCCAGTGATTTGACGCAGGATAAAATCATTCTGGGAGACAAAGAAAATGAGGTTATAAAATTAGAAAATATTGTGATCCTGGCTGAGATATTGGAAGCAGACAATCATAACACAGACAGTGATGTGAATGACGTGATAGAGTTAGCCCAAACTGATACCCAAATTTACTTCAATTTCGCGGACATTACGTTCAGCAAGGTGGCGAATAGCTCTGAATCTGAAAATCTAAATGAACTTGATGATACATTTGAGAATATCGATACTGATGATCCCTTTGATAAAACTGATTCTAAATCGGAGTCCTTGTTCATCCCTTGATGAACGTAAGACAGACGTATTAAAGAAAGGGGAGAGAAATAAGAAACCCAAACCAGAGAAATGGAAGATGAATGTGGCAAAGAAAATGAGGCTGATGTGAGAAGATCACACGAGCAGAAGAGGACCACATACTAGATAGGAAGAAACTGGGACTTGGATGTTCCTCTAAATTTTGTGAGAAATCAAAATTTAGAAACTGCAATGATATTAATGACGAGGAGAGAAGAATGATATTTACACAGTTTTAGAATTTGGGATTTGAAATCACGGGATGGACGGAAGACATCTGTTACAGCTCTGGTAGCATCAGTGAAAAAGAAGCAAAAGATATCGAATACTCAAACTCGAGGTCATTCGAATTGTTACAACTTGAAATTAAGTAATGAGAGCACTAGTCAGGGTTGTAAAGCAATGTTTTGTTCCACGATTAGAATGTCTCAGAGAACCATTGGTGGCTGGTTAAATCCAACAGAACCATCCACTGTCACCTTGGATAAAGAGTCGGCTAGATCTGGTACTACGCAGAAAATGTCAGAAGAATCTGTTGGATTTCTTAAACAGTGGCATTTGGACGTCCCTTGTGTAGAATCCCACTAATGCCTAAGGTCCTGGCCTACAGAGAGAAACGTTATCTTCAACCTGGTGCCAAAGTTTCTAAATTATATGAACAGTATCAGACAGATGTGGCTGAAGCTGGACAGCGAATAGCTGGGTTCACTAACTTCAAAGAGATGTTTCGAAAACTGAACTTGTCATTTTTCATTCCACGAAAGGATCAATGCAATACCTGTATCTAAGCTAAACAAGGAAATATCCCAGGAGAGGATCACCCAAAGGCATCTTGCTGCTACAGATCATGCGAGAGCAGAAAAGAGCCGCGATAAAGAATACGCGGCTGCAGATGAATCGGTAGCAGTGTGGACCATGGACACACGGGCAGTTCTTCTTTGTCCACAAAGTAAAGCTAGTGCTCTGTATTACAGAACCAAACTCCAGGTACATAACTTTACACTCCACAACATGACGAACCACGATGTGAAACATTTGCATACATCCAGTACAATCATTTCAAATCTATCATTGAATCTAACAATAAGATCCAAGAACTCATTATTTGGTCTGATGGCTGTGGATATCAAAACAAGAACGCTAACCTTGCAAATGCCTACGGCCATTTGTCTAAAGAGACAGGTGCCAACATTTGTCAAAATTATTTGGTTTCCGGTCATACTAACCTGGAATGCGACTCAATGCAGTGTTTTTGAGAGAAATATCCTAGGTTACGTTTTTCATCCAAGAGATTTATTGATAGTAATGCAGAAAGCCAGGAAAACTCACCGGCCTTACATTGTCCAGCAGCTGTCTTTTGATGATTTTAAAAAGATGAGTGATAAATATTTAAACAACATTAGCCCCGGGAAGAAAGTGGGTGATCGAACGGTAAACATGACAAGCATGATTCAGTATAGGTCCAATATACATTTCTTATTCAAGTTGTTTATTGAGGATCAAGATTGGAAAACACAGGAAGTCAGAGTTAAAGCCGATGTTAAAGTCAATTGAGTATCTCTATTTCATGCAAAGAGGCCCATATCCAGACGAAAATTTAACGATCTGCAAATAATGAAGAAAGTTATGCCTAAACAAGTTCATTCTTTCTATGATGTACTCATCTATGAGTAGCCTAATTATTGCTTCAAGCTTGTTACAAGTTCAAGAATAAAGATGTTTGAGTGAAATGTGTCTGTTACATTAAATACTACATGCATTATATTTTAAAATTTCTACCTATACACTTTGAATTTGACAAAAGACCCAGGGGAGGATACGGGATTTTTGCAAAGGGGTTGGCGCAAATGACATTCGTGTCAAGCGCAGCGATTCAAACAGGTTTTTTTTACCTTTACTTACTTTATTTCCAAACACGGTAAAATGGTCTAAAATGTACAAACTGTTACATTTCACATTAAAAAAGTTTGTGGCAATTCCGTTTGATATGTCTGTATAATAGCGCAGTTTTGATTTCTTACCGATATATTGAAACACCCATCATTCCTGGCAAAGAGATATCAGAAAACCCCCGAACGAACAACTGTAGTATTTTAAAAGCTTTGCATGTGCATTTTATGTTAATATGTATAAACGAACAGCTGAGCGGAGCGAGCAAAACAATTTTCTTCCCATACTTCAACGATAATTAGAGGTGCTTAGGAAGTAAACAGTTAATTATTTTGTGGCTCAAGTCAGAAATGACTAAATATATACTCTTCAGAAACTCTGGGGATATTCAGAAACAATACAAAACTGCGGAAATGCACTGCCGTTTTTATTAGAGGTAACCAGTGTATGTTAAATGAAATGAAATGGGGTTTAACGTCCTACTGTTCTGATCCTATACTGGTACTTACAATGTCCGTGAATGTATTTTGTCGTTTCTTTTTGTCCACGGCTTTCTATCAGATCAAGAATTTGGGGATATTGGCTTTTTATAAAATAAATATTTATTATATATATTAGTAATTGGTATAATAACAATCACTATAATGAAGTGAACCGGCTGTAATTGAAAGTTATAACACCTTGTAAAGTAACGTATGACGTTTTAATTTCAGTCCATTGATGAATTCAGATGGAGGCACATAAGAAAGGACTATTAACCAGAACGTAAAAATAAACAGACATTTTAGTTTGTTATTCCTTTGTTGTTTGTTACATTTATTAACGTGCCACCATGCGTCCTTCTAGCGTTATTGTTAAACACGTGTTGAAGTCGTCGAATATATATTGGTCTACGTCGGCCAGTCACCCCCCCCCCCCCGCCGACTGGATTGTTTTATTAAAATTAGTTTATTATTGTTATTATTACAAACTTACAATAACGCCTCTGATACAGGTGTTCTTTACGGAGTAACATTCCAGAAGTAAAATACACCAAAAAGATAAAACTGCATTAAAATAAACAATTATTTCTCATTGCCAATCTAATTAAAACACAGATCCTATTTCGTTTCGTTTTTATAGTTCAAAATTTCGTTTTACTTGTCTTTACTACACTAGGATCTGGAAGATTTGTTATCAAGGACGTATCCTGAATGCTGTGATGAATTAGCCAATGGAACGGTCTATTACGACGAGCTTTAGGCGTGTTTTGCACGGAACTGTGGGTAATCCACTAGTAACATCTATGCTGATTGGTCAATCAAATGTCTGATGCCATAGGTCAAAAGCAGCTCGTATGACCTCTGACGGGACCTACCGCTACAACCGATCAGATCTTCATGTAGTGTAGGCCATCGAAAGTATAAAAAAACAACGAAATATAGATCTGTATTATAATCAGATTGATTATTTCTAAAAATACATGCACGAAAGACGAATTGGTGGTCGAGTAGGGGTAAACAGTGTGTCTTACAAACGTCAAATTTCTAGAAGTTTTGCAAACAGGAAAGCTGACAAGGTACGTCCTTGTCGTATACCACTTATAAATCTTTCAGAGATCAACTTATTAAAACGCGTGTTTCTGTATTGTTACACAGTGTATCCACCTATTTAATTTTCTAGTCCCAGTAAATTATTGATAGAATTTTTAAAACCGAAATAATTGAGTTTCTGCCATAAATGGCAGTAGGTAGACATTATGGAAATTTCTATTCCTATTATGTCACAACCAGGTATAAGAAAGTGACAGAACACTCGGCAATGTAACATCTAGCATGTCTTGACACGTGGATTAATCGAGTCGGATGAATAACGACCATGTGACTATACTAAATATATACAGTGTTTAGTCAATGTAATACATTGAGTACGTCCTAACCTCAAGACAGTTTATACATCAACATGCCTGCTTTCCGTCTTCACTATTTTGATTCCCGGGGCCGCGCGGAAATAGCCCGGCTCATGTTCAATGCTGCCGGACAGGAATTTGATGACGTTCGTTACAGTAAAGAAGAGTGGCCCGCATTTAAACCTAGTAAGTAGATTTTTGGGGGTAAGGCAGATCCGGGTTTTGAACCCGTTGTTTCCCGACCAAGTTCTCCTGGTATTTCCAGTGGTGTGGTTTCTCTTTGTCATTGGTCCTGACGATTGGAAAGTTTGCCCGGACTGCAAAGAATTCTTTTACGACCTTCAATTCATTATATTTAAATACGGACGGAGAGAGATAGGGTTTAACATCCACTGAGCACAAACTTGGTAATTTGGGGACTAATAGATGGTTCAATTGTATTTCAATAATTCGCTTGTTCGTATATTGGTCTTCAGCAGATGGGGTTGGGGGGTAGGCTAAGACCCGAAGAAACCCCACAAGGTTGGACAGGGTAAAGGTCTCGCACCAGCACCAGCCATTCGGCAACCCAATTCCCCCTTGTTTATACAACTTGCTAAGGCTATTAGTAGGTATAAACAGACTATTATTTATTGGTCAGTCTACATCTTGATATCTTTATCTTTGTTTCTAGCACGAGTGACTTTTATCGTATTTGTCTCGTATCAGAAGATTTGAAAGACCCAAAGGTCACAATATTGAACTGTGATTATCACCCCGAGTTTGTATCTAGTTAAGAGTATGGAGGGACATACGGCCAATTTTTTATAGTATTATTTTAAGTGAATAACTCGGCATTTCAGGCAACATGGGATTAAGGGAGGATGTCATGTAGGGGAACCTTGACTGTAATATTCAAAGTTGCATCTACATTGGACAAAAGTTGTGAGCTCTAGCGTATCCACACACTTTGTGCATATTTGACATTCTGTGTAATTTAGGCGGGGCCTATAACCTAAGACGTTAAGGCTTGGTGCGCACCAAAGACGAACTCGACCAAGATCTTTTGATTTTAATTTGTAAAGTTTCAACTAATATGAATGATTAACGGATCTTTGTGTTAATATCAATTTATTTGAATGGCACCCAAACAAACAGTGAGATATTTTACCTTGATGCGCTGTTAGTGGAACAGCTTATTGATTTAAACTGGAGGGTCCAGATTTTATTTCAATAATTAGCATGCGCTTATGGGTCTTTAGCAGTGGGAGGAAACCGGGACTGGACAGGCGACCCTATTCCTTGTCACATGCAATGACTATACCACTGAAACTCCATATTTAAACTGAATATATATTTGCCCATATAGCTGGTCGTCTCAACAGTGGAATTGGGGGGTTGGATGGCTGAATGGTTAGCGTGGTTTCGAATCCCAGGTTGTACGTGACAAGGAGTAGGGTCGCCTGTCCAACCTCGTGGGTTTTCTCTGGGTCCTCCGGTTTCCTCCCACTGCTAAAGACCCCTGAGCGCAAGCGAATTATTGAAATAAAATTAAACCATATGTTAGTCCCGAAATGACCTAGTTTGTGTCGAGTGGACGTTAAACTCCATCTCTCTCTCTCTCTCCCTCAACAGTGGAATCAGTCGTTCCATATCAATGTAAGACAGTTAATGGCATACACTTGTTCGTCTCAGCACATAGTTAGTTTTATACACCTGGTCGTCTCAGCAGATACAACAAATCGTCTCAACAGATAGTTAATTTTATACTACTAGTCCTCTCAGCAGATAGTTAAATTTATACAACTCGTCGTCTCAGCAGATAGTTAACTTTATACGAAAAGGGATGGGGTTTACATTAATTTTATACGACAATTTTATATGACAAGGGATGGGGATTACATTAATTTTATACGAGAAGAGGTTTACATTAAGAGCCTACTACTGCCTTGTCCTTGTGTGTGTCGTGTGTAATTGTCTACGTTTTGTTGGGTATTCATACACTTAACTATTATCCCGTGTGCAGACACGTCGCACGAAAAACGTTGTCGGCAACAAGGGGTAATCTAAGACCCCAGATTGGTTTTTTAATGCATAATTTTAATCAAATACGATTAAACTACAGCTCCATATAAAGACTGACTAATCATCAATCAAAGTATAAATATTAGAATATTAACAGTAACGATATGAATTGTAAAGTATTTTTGAAACCATACAAATCTACACATAACTTAATTGTCATTTCATTCGTAGAATCGTTTTTTGATGGGGTTGGTAGAATACCTAGATTTGCTTTTGGATCTATATTACTAAAATGACCAAAACAATATCATCAGTAAGAAAGATTCTAAATGCAAAGCTAGCACTTTTAACCAGCAAAATGTTGATAAAAAGGGGAGGGGGTCCACACAAGAACCCTTGTATCCGATAATGTAATACTCGTACTTTCGTGCCAAATGATATATGTTGCCACTGCCTCAAGTCCATTCTATTTGCAGCAATATACTCGACTTTAAGTAGCTGACAATTCTCGCTAGACAATTATCAACCAGTTGCCCACAAACGTTATGGATATGGTCGCGGGGTCCCGAAATACCCCTTGTATACGCACAAGTTAAAGACGTTTTAGACTGTACTGTGGTGTAAATATATTAACGTAATATAAACGGTAATCAAGTTGATACGAAACACCGTTATGTACAATAAAATGAAATGAAATGGGGTTTAACGTCCCACTGTTCTGCTCCGAACTGCTGTGCGGGAAATTACGCTCGGACGGCTACACTACGGTCTACTCTTATATCGAATTCCAACCTCCAAGGGATCTCTTACGTGCGTGCCAATGTATACACGTGTTTTCGTCCCATCGTAACGACTAGACAGCTGTCCTTGTCAGACACTCCGTCCTGCATCACTGACAAGGGGAAACCGCACCGGGAAGTTTTGATGAACTTTCGCGGTCTATGCAGGGATCGAACATCCGACCTCATGACTAGCGAGCCAGCGTCTTTCCCACTTCGCCACCGTGACCCCCTAGTACAATAAAGTCATACTGAATGTTCTGTTTGGTTTCAGAAACACCCCTGGGTCAGTTACCTGTATTAGAAGTAGATGGGAAATTATACGCCGAATCTGGAGCGATATTTAATTACCTGGCCAGAGAACTAGGTGGGTATTATTTCACCATAATAAAGCATTTCATTCTATCTTCCTCAATTACTAAACGTTCGACCTATATTCTAACGGTAGCTTATTATCTGTCGTTTTTGTTGGATACTTCAACGGAAACGTGTTATTGAGGTATTTGAGAATTAAGTAGGCGGATTAATTTATGATTATTACTAGAGTTTAGCCATATCAAAGCTTTTTTATCAGATTTAGAGTCCCGCTTTTTTGAAACCCTTTTCGACTTACACCATAACCGAACATACAAACTTGTTGAACTTAAACGTCCGTAACTTTTAAGACGGCTCCATGAAGCTGTTTAAGTTGTGTCTATGACGAAACTAGGAAATAGATACTAACGATAATATTATATTCTGTTATATAATTTATTTAAAGTAATTGTTTCTGCAGGTTTTTATGGTAATGGTGATTTATATAATATTATGTATTTGATACATAATACATTTCTATATGTCTGTATGATAATGGTGATACAGTATTTTATAATATTTATTTAATCTAGGAGTTTGTGTGGTAAAGGTGATACTGTATTTTATAATATTTATGTCATCTAGGAGTTTCTGTGATAATGGTGATACAGTATTTTATAATATTCATTTAATCTAGGAGTTTGTATGGTAATGGTGATACTTTATTTTATATTTTTTTAATCTAGGAGTTTCTGGGGTAATGATGATACTGTATTTTATAACGTTTATTTGTGAGTTTGTATGGTAATGGCGATACTGTATTTTATAGGCATACGCCTAAAACTGGATGTGTCTCTCCCGACTCGAGTTTCCCCTTTGCTATAAATTGCAGCCACGCGGCACCCTATGGAACCCACTAACTCCAAACAGATATATTTTTTAAAAGCTTTTAAATATAAATGTTTATATACAGGTTTCTATGGTAATGGTAATATTGAAGCCTTACAGATAGATATTGTTATAGGAATTGCTAAGGATTTTTATCCTTACATGATGAAAGTATTTTACACACAAGAAGAAGAAGCCAAAAAGGTAACACTGCCATGTGGAGCAACTCTATGCCAAATGAAATACAAGGGGGTTAAATCAGCTATAACTTCTAGATGCCAATAATTTAAATGTCTGTAAACATCGAGAGTTGTATGATATGGCAACAAGCAACAAGAACCTTCAGTCTAGTTGACATCACATTTCACACTCCTGGAAAAATAAAACTTTTGACCTAAAGTTTAACAAAAATGCATTTCCCCAATCTAGACCCTTCGTTATAGACCTACGGATAATCTTGTATCTTCTTCCGGAAACCAAGAACATTGTGTTCATGTTTATGTCATAGGTGATTAAAATACGATTGTATGTTGGTGAACAAGATGACACATGACTAAATATTAGATATAATCATATCTGTTATTTCGCCACATCACTAAATAATATATGATATCTCTCAATTAAAGATACATCATGGGAGATTAGATAAAGAGCTGTCAGTTCTCACTATAATAGTTAAAAACTAGATAATGTAAAGGGTATACGCTGAAAATTTCAATCCAATTGCTTTATTCTAAGCCGAGAAAACTAAATTTTAAAATAACTGTAGACTCGATTGTCATTGTTACCGTTGTCACGATAATTAAAGAAGTCTCGATTATCCATTTTTGGGTTTAATCATCAATAGGCGTTGAACAGCAGATCAGATTCAAATCCTATGAAAAACAGACACATTAGATAGCATCGAGAGTTGATTATGGTCTTGGATGTTAACAAATATCTAATTAATAGTTTATATAACATTTTAGGCCTAAAGAAAGACATGCAATGGGTAGATTTAACCCTTGCATACACATAGCTCTATGGTACTATTTCAGCCACAACTTTTATGTGTTTGTATTGTAGGAGCTTATACAAAAACTAGTAACCGAAGACGCTACTCAATTCTTCACCAAGTATGAACGAATATTAAAAGATAATGGCAACAGTTATTTTGTGGGCAATGGGGTAAGTAATCATGCTATTATGAAGACATAAATCATGTTACAGACACTATGAGCTTGAAACAGTACAGAATATTGCGGTGATTTGCATAGTTGTTTTCTCTCAGTCAACATGCTAGTCTCACATTTGTAATCAGCGTTGGGTGAGCATTTCTGCCCGTCACACCGCTTTGAACACAATAACTGCCCCTAATTGAGGTTCAAACTATGTGCAAATGTTCATTGAGGGATGGGGGATATTTTTCATTGCATCAACATCACGACTACGTGTTGTGCTTAGCATGTTCTGCTAAACTTTTATCTGTTGGGATCTGGGCTCGGAACACAAAATTCGCTACTGGTTTCTCCAGAAATGAGTGTTGTGAATTCACTAACAAACCCTATCGCTATGAGTGTTCAGTTTGTGTCCTGGTTTATACAAATTTCAAGTAGATATTTCCTTTGGATTATGCACTGTGCAGCATTAGGCGTTTTCCATAGTTGACCTATGTGTTTTATTTAACCAAAGATGCCCATCGTTGGTACACCCTGAATATAACCAGTTTGCATATACATAATACCACCAATACAAATTTCAAGTACCACCAAATACCATCAATGACCACCACATACTATCTCGATATTGTGAAAAATTAACCCAATAATAATTAATAATTCGTACAGCAAAAGAGATGGCCAATATCTCAATGTTCCAGTTACCTCCCTTGATTACCCCAACAAACATTATTAAGTTTGACCCCGAATATCTCGAAAACGCCCCAACGGCGGACTGATTATCACTCGGCATCGTATTCTACGCAAAATTTTACTCTAGAAAAGTTGGGACTGGTTTTGTGCCCATTTGATGGACACCCACCCGCGCTGAGCCTCCGGTCTATATCAGAAATCGATCCATTTCTGTAAAATAATGGACCAAAAGTAATGGGATAAAAGTACGCGTTTATTTGTGGAAAATAGCCGTCTCATTTTTTACTGATACTATAAATATACACATTATAAATGTTTGCACTCAGTTTTGAATAATAATAATAATATCATAAAAAATATTGATAATTCCGCGAATAAACTCGATTAGTTTTATTTTATAGAAGTATTATGTTAGTGTTTCACGATATTCTGGTACTATTTTGTGGTATATGATAGTATTTTTAAATTAATATTCGGCGGTACTGGGTAAATTGTGTAAAATAATATTGTGGCAGTGTGTGGTGGTATATGATTGTATTCAATTAATATTCGGTGGTATGTAGAAGTAGTGGGTAAATCGTATAAAATATATTATATATTCTGTTTTTTTTTCTATTTACAGTTGACGCTGGCTGACATTGTTGTGTATGATGTAATTGAATATTTACTTCCGCTCAAGGCAGATATACTTGAACCATTCCCATTACTTCGAGCTAACCGTAAAACTGTTGAAAGCAATTCACGACTAGCCGCGTACTTAAAGACAAGAAAATAAAATGATACAATATTAAAAATAAATTTTTATACAGTGTGTTATTAAGCGGTATTATTGCTGACGTGCGTTGCCAATACAGGATATATCCCTACGCTTTTTTTCTTAATCCAGCCTCCACCCCCATTGACTTACCCTGTTCGCCCCACATCCGGTCCTGGTTATCAAATTAATCTAATGGCTGTGACGTCATTTTAGTATCTGATATTCCCATTTATATATATTTACTCCCTTATCATTCCGCCACAAAATCTCGATTATTCACCAAAATCTGACGGAACACGTAAATTAAAACACTCTTCGTCGATTATAAACACCAAAGTCACCAAATAATGCCTTACAAAGGGATAGAGGCAGATATAATTAGCTATCAGTAGACAACCTACCTTACTACTCCAGTGGCAAGTGGAGAAATATGATCTGGGGATCGCTGTTCCCGGTGGAGTGGTTTCTCTCAGAAATGTTTGTAAGTTTGAAGTCAATTCCCTTGCATCTAAGGCCATTTCTAAGGGAATTTATTCTTGAATATGTATAGACTCTCCCCGGGGCCTCTCTTGTATACGCTCCGCATGAGGGGGAGGGGCTGTATTCTTAGTCCATAACCGCTTTGACCAAGCAGGATAGAGTAGCCAAACATGTTACTAAAAGGGGTTATGAGTTAGTGTCTCAATGACAGAAGATGAACCAGGCACCTGGTTGGTTGGGAAGCATTTTGAGAGTTTCCATTATTTTCGTGCTACTATAGTCCAGTTGATACACAATGTTCGTGTTGGTGAAATAGATATCGTATAATACAATGTCTAATTGATCGAACTGACATTTGGGTAATACAAAAACACAACCAACGATTAGATGAGAAGTGGTATCAGATCTTTAATTTATATACAAACGAAAATTAATTGAACATCATCTATGCCGTATGTATACACGAATTCATGTAAAGGTGATATAGCCTCTTTCTTGATATAATTCGATGATGAAGGAGGGAGTCTTGACAGTTGAGGTGGGGCGGTTAGAGTTTTAAGTGGTTCGGCCTAAAATAGGTTGAGTTGTATTACTGATGATACATTTATAAAATAAACATGTTAAAACGAGATACAAGACAACTTGTATAATATGCTCATCTTAAACACTACTGGATAATTATAACCACATCTTCAAAAAAATAAATATCCGAGGTCTTGATCCTGACGAATGGGATGTTTGGAATCAGCCAATCCATCAGAAGGGCGTCATAAATAACAACCAGGACGAAGTAATTGTGATCAATGACCAGGAAACATATTGATGTCACCGGGCCCATGAAATATTGTATACGTTAGCCGACCAGCATTATACTGTACACGGTACCAGGTTAAAATTATTAACAACATTATATAAATGTATATTAAACATTAAAACAGTTATATTTAATGTATTGCACCGTGCAAGCTCTAACTTAAATGTCAATGTTGGTGTTAGCCAATATTGTGTATGTCATAAACCTGGCCATACATGTAATATTGGCTGACACCAACATTGTCCTTTAATAAAGTCCACAAATGATAAGACTCCTCCATTTTAACCAGCAAAAAATGATGTGCGGTGGAGTAATCCTTAACATGCCAGAGCTTACCAAAGTAGCTTAAATCAATAATAAGTCACTTTTTTTCTTTTTAAAGAGATATTTTATTCATTATAAATGGAAGGGAGATCGGGGAACAGACATAATGTCTATGTTAGACCCCTATCCCCATTTACAATACAAATTATATGATAATATTGAAAAGCAATAGATACACACATCCAAAATATTAAGCTTTGTAATAATAATAATAATATTAATAATAGTAATAATTTAGAGTCGTTAAGTTAAATTGAAATATGCGTGAACTGTTGTAAATATAAGATTCATATAGTCCGTAGAGTAGAGTTTTGCAATTCTTATACTCATCAGGCAATGTAGAAATGGGTTCTGGTCTAACAGTCGCTATCATCAAAAGGGTGACCTCAATTGCAAGCTGGATTTTCAGAGATGTGTTTAAAACATGTGATTATTTAAGTTACTCAATGAAAGTCGTAGTTTGCTGTGTATAATTTCAATACTTTTGTTTAAAAGAAGAGATACTTGTTGCACGTTTAGTTGACTGATCTAACCGGTTCCGTGCCTTTTTTGAAGAATGGTACTAATGAATCGGAAAATAGTTTCCTTCTGCCTCGATATTCAGTGAAGTCATTTATGTGTCTACAAGCCAACAGCGAGGCTGATGTCCCTCGCCGAAATCCAAAAATGAATAGATGACACATATTAATTAATCGCACATTTATTTGTCTCAAAAGTATCGAGCAATCAAACTATACACTAAGTTTCATCACTCTCCATCAGATAGAATCAATATTATCTTGTCCTAAAGCATCGATCAATGAATTGGATTAGCTCTACTTTGCCTCAGCTCGAAATTTTAATCATTAAACTCAGTCAAGACATTCACCTAATTAACATCAAGTTTAAACATTCTACCTCAATTAAAAGCCGAGTTGTTATGATCCGAAGTCTTGACTAATCAAATTGCTTATCGTTCTTTAGCCTAAGCAGAAAATTCTCACCATCGAAGATAATCAAGGTAACGTTATAATGAATCTATATTCGGAGTTTCATCGCTCTCACTTCATTATAACCAAAGGTATCGTGCCCCAAAGCATCAACCAATTAGATTGCGTATCTCTGCTTACAGTAAGCAGACAGTGTTTATCATCAAACTCCATCAAGGCATTCATCTAATGAGAGAGAGAGAGAGAGAGAGACGAGGCTTAACGTCCATTCGACACAAACTAGGTCATTTACTGACTGACATATGATTTTGAATTTTATTTCAATAATTCGTTTGCGGGTAGGGGTCTTTAGCTGTGGGAGGAAACCGAAGGACACGGGGATTCGAAACCAAGTTTGAACATTCTAGCTCAATTAGAAAGAGAGTTATTGTGTCCCAAAAATGTGACGGACAAACAGACGGACGAACCCATTTTAATTATGGCGGTATATTAGACTCAAAATTCTAACATGCTATCGTGTAATCTCTTACTTTTATTCATATAATTTCTAACTTCCATTCATTTAATTTCTAAATTAAGACAATGTATAATCCAACTTTGTTATTTGTTCAGTGTAAATTTTAATTTAATTGTCGCTTTACATGTTCAGCATGAACGTCAAACAAATTTAGAATTTTTATACTACTACCTAGCAACCATCATTATCAAGTCGTTTGGTGTCGCCACTGTGCTCAAATTGCCGATTGAGCACCTGATCGGGACCATTCGGTTGATATAAACGACTCGCTCTGCGCCAGGTTGAATGGTTTTGCGGGGTGTTAAAATTGAAAACATCGAGAGAGAGAGAGAGAGAGAGATGGGGTTTAACCTGAAATGAAATGAAATGGGGTTAAACATCCTGCTCCTATACTGGGCTAATGAAGACGGGCATACGCGATACAGTGTGCTATTAGGGGAAGTTTGCCCGCGTAGCGGCACTATCGCCTACTCTTATATCGAATTCCAACTGCCAGGGGATCTTTTAAGTGCATTCCAATATATACATGGGACCTCGGTTTTTCGTCTCATCCAAAGGACAAGGGGGACATCAATGACCAGGGGGAACCACGCCGGAAAATCTGGATGAACTTTCTTGGCCAATGCTGGGATCGAACACCCGACCTCCAGGCTAGCGAGCCTGCGTCTTACCCACTTAGCCACGTGACCCCCCTACTCGACACAAACTAGGTAATTTCGGCACTAACATATGGTTCAATTTTATTTCAATAATTCGCTTGCGCGTAGGGGTCTTTAGCAGTGGGAGGGAACCGGAGAAAACCCACGAGGTTGGACATGCGACTCTTCTCCTTGTCACGTAGAACCGGGGAATCGAAATAAAATGAAATTAAATGAAATGTTGTTTAATGGCATCCGGGGAATCGAAACCACACCAGTTGACTAAATGACAGACCTTATGATACAGCGCGCACGTGCTAACCATTCGGCAATCAAACCCCCCAAACAACATCGAACATGATATGGTTTGCAAATACTATTTCAAATACAAGCTAAACAACATTTGTTCATTTTTTTAATACAGGATTTGGAGAATTTAATTTGATTTTGTTTACAGTTGAGTCAATTACTACTGTTAGTTTAAATTCACACAGGGTACAATTTTAAAAATACACAATTACTGAGCGACGTTTCGACGAGGATACTCTCGTCTTTATCAAGCCCATCTCTCTCTCTCTCTCTCTCTCTCTCTCTCCAAATTTCAGCACTCCGTCCGACCTTCAACCAGACGAAGAACGAGTCGTTTATATCAACAAACTGGACCCGACCAGGTGCGCAATCACCAAATGAGCACGAAGAGGAGACACCAAACGACTTCATAATGATGGTTGCTAGGCCGAAGTGTAAAAATTCTAAATTCGTTGATGCTAAACGTGTATAGCATCAATGCAGAAGACGTTTTTCGTCTACATAATAGAAATAAGATGAAATAGAATTAAAATTTACACAGAACAAATAAAGAAGTTGGATTATACATTGTTTTAATTTAAAAGTTAGATATTACATGAAAAGAAGTTAAAAATTACATGAACAGAAGTTTGAAGTTAGTTGAAAGTACGTTAGAATTTTGAATCTAATATGCCGCCATATTTTATAATCCCCTGCTTTCTTCGAAAGGCGGGGGGCAAAAATTGTACGAAGATTTTCTAGATGGCGGAAAAAGTGTCGAAATATAATTTATTCGAAATTTTATAGACAAAAATATAACCGGCCTCCTTATAGAAAAAATGATGGCTCGTGCCGTTAATCGCTCCGTAGATATTGCGTCCAGTTGCAGGTCCCAAACACACACCCCAAACAATATCCGGGTAGTCAGTCGAGATCTGCGTTTCAAGCGATATTTCAGAGATCTCAAGCAGTTCACTATATGTGTGGGTGACTTCATTTTTTTTTACAGAATTAATGATCAGTGGAGGGATTAAGGGGATTAAAGGTAACCATTCAGATTTCAGCCCAGTCATCAATATTAAGATTACTGGCGCTTACAATCGGGTCATCGATTTTGAGGACACGCGAGGCATCATTGACAAATAATCTGACATTAGATTTCATATTTTCAACAATATCATTAATGTAAATGAGGAAAAACAAAGGACAGAAGCCAAGCATTGGGAAACAAAGGCCGAAATGACTTTGGCTTCAGAGGCAACTCCATTCAGGACTACTTTATGTTGTCTGTTTGACAGATAATTGTCAAACCAATCTAGCAGGTCTCTCCATCACAGTAGATACAGTTAAAAGCATTGCTAAAGTCACTGGCGTTAGTCCTTGATATCTTTAACCTCTCATGGATGAAGGGAAAAACTCCACAAGAAGGGAAAACTGCCTCAGTAATTCCCCTACATAAGCCAAATAAAGACAAAAACGAAACAACGTCGTATCGCCCAGTCAGTCTAACATCCACTTTATGTAAAACACTAGAAACAATAATTACAAACAGACTAAAATTCCACTGTGAAAGCAACAACATCTTCACGACACAACAAAGAGGCTATCGTTCCGACAGGTCGACAGCAGACCATATCATCAGATTACAACATGATATATCAAAAGCTTTCACAGCTAAACAATATCTATGCGCGATTTTCGTTGATTTAACAAAGGCCTTTGACCTTGTTTGGGTGGATGGTCTCTTGCACAAACTCCATAACGCGAAAATCAAAGGAAGAATGTACAAGTGGATAGAAGACTTTCTAAACGATAGGCACATTAGAGTACGTGTAGGTAATTGCTTAAGTGACAAATTCAAAATGGAAAACGGAACGCCGCAAGGATCCGTTATCAGCCCAATATTATTTAACATAATGATAAATGACCTTCCTAGCTACGGGGGGAAGGGCACTGAATCCTCACTATTTGCTGACGACAGCTCGTTCTGGAAAGCTTCAAATAACATAGGCATAATCAAAAAATCGCTTCAATATACCCTAAAACAAATCTCAAAATGGGCAAACGATTGGGGTTTTAAAATCTCAGAAGGGAAAACAGTGGCAATGCTGTTTCACCCGACTGACACTAACAGGAAAATCGACTTAAGTCTTAACGGCTCAAAAATTGAATTTAAATCAGAAGCCAAATTTTTAGGAATGACATTTGATTCAAAACTTTCCTGGAAAGCACATATAGATAGCGTAGTAAGTCGCACATCAAAAACACTCAATTTAATGAAATACATCAGAGGAATGGAATGGGGCGCAAGCAGAAGTACTCTTATGCTAATATACAGAGCATTCATCCGCTCGGTAATCGACTACGGATGTCTAGCTTATGCAAATGCAAGTGATGCACAGCTCAATAAATTAAACATAATACAAGGAAAGGCATTAAGACTAGCCACAAGAGCCGCAATAGGAACCAAAACAGTTGCCCTTCTACAAGAGATGGGAGAACTCCCGCTTGATCTTAGACGAGAGGAACTGTCACTCAAGTATTGGGGTAAACTGCAAATGCTAAAAGAAAAATGTCCGACATATAAGTGCCTCCAACAATTCAAACGAATAGGCTATAGGAAAAATACGCGTCCTATGACATTCGGGCAAATGTCAAACGATGTCTTAAATAAACACGGTTTAAAAGGGACAATAATAGAAACAAAAACTTATCCCGTCACTCCACCCTGGCAATTAAGCAATCCAATCATCAATACGCACCTAATCAACGTTACAAACAAACACGATAATCCCATAGAGGCTAGAGCACTAACACTAGAGCTGATAGACACAAAATGGGCAGACTATATTAAAATCTATACAGATGGGTCGAAAAATAATACACAGGGACTAACAGGGTACGGCATTTTCATCCCCAAAGCAAAGCTAAACATCAAGAAAAGGATACCAGAACATTGCTCTGTGTACACCGCAGAATTGATGGCCATCAAAACTGCAATAGAATGGCTTGCCACCCAAAAACACCAAAAAGCCGTTATCCTATCAGACTCCCTAAGTAGCATTAAATCCATCGAATCAGACTATTCCAAAAGCAGACAGGACATAATCCACCAAATTAGGTATATAATTCAAACAATAAAGAATAACGGAAGAGAGGTAGTCCTTGCATGGATCCCCTCCCACATCAATATCTTCGGCAATGAACAGGCTGACAAGCTAGCCAAGGAAGGGTTGGCATTAACTGATATAGAAAATTTAGAATACAGCACTCAAGAATTCACAAGCATAGCCAAAGATAAAATTAAAAATGCATGGAAAACCCGTCTAAAACAAGAGAATACTCATCGCTATCAAATTGATAGCAATCTTGTAGACAAGGTTTACACCAATCATCCATCAATCAAAATATGCAAACTCATCACGAGGCTTAAAACGATAAACGTAATAAAAGACTTCACCTTCAATCCAATTAAATGCCCATGTGGACAAATCGCGACCACGTCTCACCTGCTAATTGACTGCAATCAATTGAACAAAGAACGTCAATCTGTAATTAAGAATCTAGCAGAGAGGGGAAACACCCTCTGTCTCAAATCACTCCTTTCTCCACAACCCGACGATAGACACTGGACATCACAACTTGTCTGGGATTTTATTGAGAACATAGGGATGACCAAATATATAAAATAATGAATATAATCAATTAAAAGTAGGGTGGAGCGCAAAAATGTCCTCTAGAAGGAAGCGTAAACCGCCCTACACAACTAATATAACTCCGATATATATAAAATACTGAATTTAATCAGTTAACAGTAGGGTGGAGCGCAAAAATGTCCTCTAGAAGGAAGCGTAAACCGCCCTACACAACTAATATAACTCCGATATAATTAATAAATCAACTAATAAAACCAACTAACAGTAGGATGGAGCGCAAAAATGTCCTCTAGAAGGAAGCGTAAACCGCCTTACACAACTAATATAACTCCGATAAAATTAATAAACCAACTAAAACCAATCAATTAACAGCAGGGTGGAGCGCAAAAATGTCCTCTAGAAGGAAGCGTAAACCTCCCTACATCTATAATACAACCACTAATCTACCAACTAATAAAACCAATCAATCAACAGTAGGGTGGAGCGCAAAAATGTCCTCTAGAAGGAAGCGTAAACCTCCCTACATCTATAATAAAACCATTAATCTACCAACTAATAAAACCAATTAATCAACAGTAGGGTGGAGCGCAAAAATGTCCTCTAGAAGGAAGCGTAAACCTCCCTACATTTATAATAAAACCACTAATCTACCATTAACATAATTCATGAGTAATTTATTATTCTCATTATTACCATTAATATCTATTTATTATTCTTATTATTTATCTGCAATTCAGTTAACACTCTATTTTCTTTTACTCTCACTTATTATTTTTATTATTAGTTTAAATGATTCCCCGCCCCCCCCCCCCCCACGAAGCCTTACTAGACGAAATAACCAAAAAATCACAGTAAGATCAGATACTCTCTTTTCTCTAGCTTTCTTTTTCAGGTGCTGGATTCTTCCTTCAGAGAACCAACAATAAAAGGAATGAATAACATAAATAAAGATGTAAAAACGCTACCATACCGGACAACATACCCAAATGAAAGGAAGAATGGACCAGGACTCAAACTCACCAACAAAGCCCCAAGGTAGAGTTGCACCGCCCTGCCATTCTACCGGACAGAACGACCAGACCAACCCAATCGACCAAAATATATATATATATGTACATAATATGTCTATGTCTGTGAAAATGTCCGTCTTTGTCCATGTCTGTTCCGTCAAATCGCATGTTTGTAAATGTCTACTGGCACCTGTTTCGTCCTTTGCACATGTTATCCTACTGTTGTTTATTGTCCTATGTACATATATATGAAAACCTAACCATCCTAATATTTCTCACTAATCACATTGTAAATTAATGCACCTTGTACACATAACACGTCATTGTCTGCGATATCACCTCGGTGGAAGCGGACGTAAAATACAACTAACACTAACTAACACAGAGTACAGTTGTTATGATAAAACGTGTGTCAATTTTATTAGATGGTATAGTACTGTCAACTGGAAGGTAGTTAGTATACCGCAGGATGTTAAAGTATTTCAAAATATTTTAATTATAATGATTAAAAATGAAACTGGTCTTTGATTTCCACATTTATTAGGAAATCATGTCTTAAATATGGTTGTGGCGTTGTCAAATTGCCAAGCTTGGGGACCTTATTTGTTTTTAGAGACAGTTTGATTAAAGTACAAATTGGAGAAAAAATGTCAGTGGGAATAGATTTCAGTAATTTAGCACTGATGTCATCGAGACCGGATGATTTTGATATATTTAAATTGTTGATAAAATCGTTAACTTCTTAATGCGTTGGTACGGTCTGCGTTAGTGAGTTCTGATTCTGTCAAATAGAGGGGTAAAATAAAATACGATATCATATTCTAAATTAACCACGCGGCATCTGTAGATAACAAATTAGTTAATTAATAAAATACAAGATAGAACAGTAATTAATTATACATTAAACATACACATATACTTGCGTGCCCAGTCTCTTAAATATATACATTTAGCTCACCATTCTAAACAATACAATCAGTCAAAGTTGCCTTAGTAATACAAACAAAATAGATGTGGTATCTGGCTGCATTTAGTGCTGTCACAGTACGGTTGTAGCAAACAAAATTACATTATAGTTTTCTTTGGCGCACTATCGGGCGACTCCGGTGATGGTGGTGGATTGTCGGGCTCGGAAATGAATTTTCTGCGCGACGTGTAGACCAAAGAAGATGGACTTCCGGCTGCAATATCGAAACCTGACACCTGTGTAATGTTTGTTTGATCCTCAGTTGACCCTGAAATACAATGATTGTTTTAAAACCAGCTCGTGTAGTTTCATCTAGAGGACCTACAACCACCGTACTTATATTCATCCAAATCATGGGTGAAATACGTGATCATAGTCCCATTATTGTAAATTTTAAAGTAAAGCAAATCGCATTCCTTTAGTCGTGCAATTTGGAATTATTTAGGTCCTAATATAATGATCGGAAAGAATTATTTCCAAATGAACGCTGTTCACATCAAGCTAGTAAAATTATTTCTATAATTGTCAATGACACTAAAACGTTTATTCCGAATAACTGCATTAGTATAAGACCAAAAGACGCACAATGGATGGATGGACACATTCGAAGACTAGCTTTCTAGAATCGCCAATTGGAAACTTCGGGAAACGGTGTTTAGAAGTACTTGGAAGGTTATGGATGGTTCTTTAAAAAGTTGGTAGGTTCTGGAAAGTTGGGGAAAATTTGAGAATGTTCCGGAAAGTTCCGAGAGTAGAACATTTGAAGAACATTTGGATAACTTTAGCAGAACTTTCTTAGCACTTTATACAAAACTAAATGTTGACTTCTTGTGCTGTTTTAAGAGAAATTATCTCTTTGTTGTAATACAAGTTTATGATTATTGTTGTGGATTATTACCACGTCGGATTATACCCATTCAAGAATTATTCATGCTGTTACATTTGGATCAACAAGATCCTGTATAATTCTGCCAACTTTGGAATTACTGCGGCAACATCTGTAAAGGACTGTCTACAAATTACAACTTCAAAGCCGAGGGTGAAGAAGACCTCAACAAAATACTGTGTGTACTCTTGTACATTGTTTTGATCAAAGTTGTTATAAATATTTGTACTTATGCTCATTTGTCCTAATATTACTTTATTATTTGTAGTTGTTATATTCGAACTTGTATTCATTTGTTCTATAGCTAAAATCACCCTTTTTCACACGAAAAGATACGAAACTTTGGGAAAATGTTACAGGTCTATCAATTAGTATCAATGATGAAACTTAAAACATGTGTTGATATCCCACAGATCTCGTTCCTGTTGATATCCGCGCATTGGGATCGTAACTTCCTGAATTATGGCCCCTGATTGTACGAAAAAAATCGCGATTTTAGCTTGATGACGTTATAGAGATCACAATCTTAATCCGATTTTAAAAATCGTTTACCTATTATAATAATGTACACAGTGAAAAAAAAGTCTAATTCTCATAGCATTCCCGAAATAAGTGAGTCTTCAGCTGTGATTTGAAAGCAGTCAAAGTTTCACTGTTTTGGATATGCGCCATCATAGAAATCAATAGCGATTTGTAGAAACCGGATAAAATTGTAACATCTAGAGGCTTCACAAGTTACTATCCGATACGTGCAAATATCGAAAGTAACCGAGACCGATGGGATATAAATAGTGATCGCTATGGTAATTCGCCCACATTGCTAATATCATGATACATAACATACTTATTGGACAAATTCGTCTAATGCTTTGATTTTTACTCACACACTATCACACTTACCTGAAAATGGTTTTAACCTGGAAGCTGGATAATTCGGGCTATAAGGTGATATTCCACCAGCTACAAAACAATCACGTATAAACTCACATATTTTACATAATAATGAGTATGGTCTAAGACAATAGAATACGAGTGGTTAAATACAGAAATACAAAATACAGAAATTGGGACACAAGCATGATTATGCTGTAACGTGTAATAGTGATATATTTGAATGTTTTTTTTAAAAGAATAAAACAATTGCGATATCTCGAAGGTCCACAAGCTACAAACGCGATTCTTCGTACAACCAGGAGCCTGATCAAGGTAGTAACAATCCTAGAAATAAACTGCGATATTAGGAACATAAACATATAAATTATGTTTCTTACATAAATATCGATGGAAACCGAGACCGATGGGATATAAACAGTGATGGCAGTGCTAATATTATGATACAAATGTTGGATAAATTTATCGAATATTTTGATTTGATTTGACACACTATCACACTTACCTGGAAATGGGGTTGAAATCCCCCAAAAACAGATGACCCATATTCAATAATTGCACATGTAACTTTTTCAAAAGCATCGAGTAATCAGACCGATTATCTATCCTTAGACTAAGCATACAATGTTCACTATCAAACTCAGATTTTGAAGTACCTGGTAGTGACTGAACCTATACACAAAGGTTCATCACTCTCCATGTGTTAGAATTAAAGTTATCTTGTCCCAAAGCATCTACCAAAGAAATTGCCCAGCTCTGCTTAGCTTTAATGCGAAATCCTAATCATTCGCCTAATAAACATCTATACCTCAATTAAAAGCAGAGTTTTTATGTTCCAAAGTCTTGACCAATCGGATTGCTTATCTCTACTTAGCCTAGTATTATGATACAAATGTTGGATAAATTTATCGAATATTTTGATTTGATTTGACACACTGTCACACTTACCTGGAAATGGGGCTGACCTGGGGGGTGAACGATGCCGGCATATACCTGGTACTTCTATACTGTTAACATCAACTACAAAACAATTACGTATGCGTATGAGGTTTTTACAAAGAAACAAGTCAACAGTGAGGCTGATGTCCCCAGCCGAAATCCCCCCCCCCCAAAAAAAAACCCCCCAAAAATCAACACAGATGACACTTACCCTAAGCATAAAACTCCATCAAGGCATTGGCCCAATGGCCTACACTAAGTTTGAACATTCTAGCTCAATTAGAAGGAACATTATTGTGTCCCAAAAAGTGGAACATACGGACAGACCAGTAGTAGGAAGGGTACTTTGAAGCAATTTTGGAATTCCAGACATTCCAAAGGTCTGACGTCACACATTCCTAAGGTCTGACGTCAGAGCATTCCACAGGTGTTCTATTTATAGGTTGAATATGGTTATTGTTGACTGAACAATGAGGTTATGAATAATAAAAAAGGTATGCAGGTGTTATATTCTTTGATCGTGTTTGACTTTTGTAACGAGGGTATGGGGTCCACGAATTGTTTATTGGAGGGTAGGGGGGGGGAAGATATTTCGCTTTATAGGCAGGTGTTTAGAGGTTACATTGAGTTCACGCCAAGTGTAGCTATACCTGCATTAAGGGACAATGATCTCCGCTATTAAGCTTGACAGTTGAACATGTTGTGATTGTTTATCAAAGGCTGTTTATATCCCACACACCATATCCCCCCCCCCACACCGACCCCCCCCCCTCCCACCACACCCCGTCCTAACCTAAAAAAACCCACTTCACAGGTCTACACTCTTCAATCCGTGTCGATACTAAGAAACCAACAACAGCCTTTTTTTTTTTTTATAATATTTTATTTAGCCATCGTGTTATATATATATATTTTTATAATGATGGCATGTTCCAATCTGCTAGCTCCCTATAAGTGTCGAGAACGTTGATGATGTTCTTGAACGCAGGGTTCGTTCCCTCAACCATCCTCAACCGTGTCAGTATGTAGTCCGTAAAAGCTAACAATCTGCAGAAAAGAACAAATCAGATAGGTATTGGTAAAATAAAACATACCAAGTAGAAAAAAATCACCAAAAAACTTACGTTTCTTTTTCCTGCTCAGGTGATGGCCTTATAGGGGTTATATATGGGTGGTGTGTCGCCAGTAAATTATTGGCGTCGAACAGAATATCCCTTAGTTGGATAGCTATAGCAGGTGTTCCAATAGCATTGAGACACGGTGCCAATGTACACAGCATTAGGGTAATTATGCTTTTCAAGTAAGCCTGAACCTGGTCAATACTGTACCTTAAACAACAAAAAATATAATATTATAATTTATATTAAAGATATTTTCAAAGTCAAAATATTAATAGGTTGGTTAATACCAATAAATGTATGCCAATTTTGGTGTGTATGGGTGTGTGTAGCTTGAAAAAGTAGAAACATTCGAGTATGATGAAAAGTAGGGTGGGCTGATGCCATGGAGGTACAGTGTGTGGTTCTCTTGCACTTACCATTAAGCATTGCTTTCAACATAAAGTTCACGGTCTCTACGTATATGCATGGTAATATAGCATCTTAGGCTCCTAACCGGGTTAATATTTGTTGAATATGTTTGACAAATATGGTTGCTTAGATATGAACAGTTTTAAAAATAAGCAAAGCAGACGAAAGTCGTATATTAATCTCAGTTGTTAGGAGAGCGATTTAGCTAATTTACGCGTGTCTTTAATTACGCACTACAAAGGTCGCCCTACGAGGGTCGAGTGAAAAAGTAAACATGAAACGCTGTTTTAAAAGTAGGTTTCGAATCACAATTTTGAAGAAATAATAAAAAAACTTACATTTTGAGACGGTCTTGGTTTTCTTTTTTTACAAAGTCGACGAGAGTTGATAATGCTTATTCGTTCAGAGGCGAGAATAATTTTCACAGACAAACGGTTGGTACTTATAAAGAAAAGTGAATACTTTTATGAGCAACTATAAATCGTTGGGAGGGCCGAGTTGTTCTAAGATATTCCTTTTAAAATATTATACATTAAAACTAGACAATACTCCGTTGTGAATAATTTTAAAATAAATATCTCCACTTAAAAATATTATTCATGAAAACTAGTCAAATGTTCATAAAGTTTAACATTAGGTTTTGGCTGTAAAGGAGGGGTCAATTACGCGCCCTGTACTCAGACAACAGCTATAAACTGTCGGTGTTTTTATCAAGTACTAGGCATAACCAATGACGCGAAATAATTGCCAGAAAGCCGTGTGATGTCTGTCGGCGAGCGAGTCGTTGAAAAACCCCCTACTGACAGCGAGTGGTTTAAAAGACCAACCGTCTAGCTACTTGTCAAAGCAGGTGTCAGTGGCTGGCCGTTTAACCTCTAGCCGCGAAGCATGCTACATTGAGTGTGTATATCTCGTAAGACCTTGGCTTTTAGTATACGCCTAGCAATTACTGGGACAAATTCGGAAAATAAGGTCAGTTTTTTCCTTTAAAGATACATTGTTTAAGATTAAGATAATTATTATTATTTTTATTATTCACTCTTTTCGAATTGTTTGGGGGTCTCTGAGTACAAGATCTTGTACATATATTTTGTTTTTTATGTAGAATTGTTCAAAGTGTAGATTATAGCCAGGGTTAAAAATTCAGACAATTTCGACAGTTTTATCAAGAAAGTTGTGTTTGAAAAGTAAAATATTATTGTATCCGTAAATCGCAAAGCCGGGTGTTGTTAGGGTATCACTCGATGTGAAGATTATTAGTCCGGTTGTCAAACCTCACCCCCCGATGTTTACATTCACGAGGATTACATTAACGATAGATTATTATTTATTAGCGATAGTATTACATTAGTAATAAACGATTGGTCGTTTCTTAAATTAAATTCTTAACAGGTTACGGTGTTAGTTTTGTAAGAGTTTTTGATTGTGAAATTTGAATGTATATAATGTAAGTGTTAGATCTTATGAAGCCGGGCCGTTTTTGCTAGATTCTATAAAGTGAGTCTGAAATATATCTCACAATTCACTTGGCGCATCTATTATTAGAAACAAAATAGATCCGAGGAGAATGAAGCGTGAATCACGATGGAGAATTAAGAAGATTGTGAGAAGCCATACGGCTGATTCATGACGAGAGAAAATTACCATTTCAATTAAAACCTTTACAAACAAAATTTTAGAGAGGGTCATTGTAGACTAGCGAGATGTTTTGATAGATTCAGTACGTGGTAACTTAAAAGACTGGATAATCCAGACAATGACAGGCTTTCCGTCAAATTTTGAGGACCCATCCAGACTAATATTCGTAGAATATTTGTTTGGATGATAGAGACAGCTTTACCGTTCGTTCAACATGTAAGGGGAGGTAACTACATTCAACATGTAAGGGGAGGTAACTACATTCAACATGTAACAAACCTTGGAATCACACCGGCTATTATGAATTATCTTCAAATTGACATTTTTTCTAAGTTTGACTTTCTCGGTTCCTTGACCCATCAATCATTATGCAATGAGTTAGTAATACTTACCATCATTATGCAATGAGTTAGTAATACTTACCATCATTATGCAATGAGTTAGTAATACTTACCGTCACGTTCAAGATGTAAGGTGCCTTGTTTTTAACAAATAGACGTCGTTGTTTTTTTAAAAATCACATGATTCTACAGTCATGTTGTCTATATTATATTCCTTCACTTTATCGTTTTTGGAATTCCACTCCGTCAAGAATAGATAGGGACCCCCTATTGAATCGAAAAAGCTAAATTCCGATTTCTTAGCCGCCTCGATGCATTCGGTTTTAGATTTGTACAAAACTCTGGAAGTCGCTAGGGTAATCACACTCTGTTTGAAAAATCCTCTGAATTGCCAGCGAAAACCTCCCGACAAACATGGTTTAATCATTTGCATAAAACTACAGGTTTGATTGTACCTAGTGTGTTCAACGAATGGGTTGTCTCCGGGGTTCCAAGACTTCAATATTAAGTTGCATCTAAAACATTTTACGCGATCGTAAGGTCCAATATAGATAAAGCCAGCCTTGCTCAAATTATGAGGTGTCGGCTGCTTATGCATCCAGCAATTATCAAAGGTGGCCAGACGATCGTTATAGAGTATATAAGGATCCATCTTACTACACCATTTAAAAACCCAACACCTAGATCTAAAAAAAAAAAAAAAAAAAAAAAAAAAAATTGTTACAGTCATATACTTTTGATTATTATTAAACCAAATTTTCTGCTTTCTTAGAATGGATGCGTTTGAAACCTACACACACACTCAATGGGGCGAAATACTACAGATTACAGACGAATTTGAATATTGGACGGCAAGTCAAACCTTGGCCGTTAACGAAGCTCTAGACCACGTCGAGAATGAAAATCATAATGAAACACAGGGGGTTAAGCGGCAACTGTCTGACCCTGACACCGTGGATGCCTCTGAAGAAGAAGAAAGGTTAGAAAAAAAACCCCGACCGGTGGTTAGTCCGATATTATTTTCAGATGACGATAACGACTTTGACACGTCGCAGGTGAGCAAAAAAACTTTACACGATATTCAAAATAATGTGAAACCTAATTCGTCTACAGAAAGTGAAAAGATCGATCCGCTAATTGCACTATTAACGAGTGACATAACATTGCCTTCTAATATCCAATCTTTAGTGGCTAAGGTTTGTGACGAAAAAGACGACGAAGTCGTCGACATTTTTGATTTGTTAACACCACCGGATTTGTTTTTTTAAATACCATACCAAACCCAATCTCCATTTTTTTTTTTTTTTAAAGATTTGTCAAGTGGGGAGAGGTGGCGAAGATTTAGTAAGGCTGATTTCGGTGGAGCGCCGTTTTTCAAGAAAGTTTAATATCCATTCCGAATTAATGAGAATCGAAATTATAAACACGGAGGCGGTTACCACTCCTGACTGGCTAGAGCGGCTATTCACTCAGATATTAGAGACCGTCAGAGAAAATTTCAATGTTCAGCCAAACGAGAGGGTAAGAATACAACTAAATCATCCTGATTTGGACAACCCCATATATATTGCGT